CCCCCCCCCACCTTCATTTGTTTAAGGGAAAAAAAAAATATATTCAAATTGAAGTGCGAGAGTGTAATTTTCAGCCATCTAGAGATGCCCTAATCATAAATTTTCCCCAACCATGATGGGGCTGAGGTGGGTGGTTCCTCGGTCTGTGAAAGTCCCTCCCTCGTTCACCTCTCTTCCGAATTCCTGGATCTGCCACTGTTGATTTATTATATAATTATTTTTGCGCTTATTTATAATGCGTCTATTGCAATTTTCACTTTATCCTCTCAAACAGTCTTAAGAACGTTCAGAGTGCGCTACTTCACAGGGGGATTCGCCCCTTGACCCTGCCGGGGTCTTACGTAATTCGCATAACGGTTCCCCCCCCCCCTTTCAAAATCCTGGCTACGTCCCTGACACACTATCAAGTGATGCGTTCACAATACAAACATTCAAACAACACAGTACATTCGTACCGATACACTAAAGCACAGTATAGAATAAACACGTAGGCCTACAATACAAGAACAACAGTAAAATGATAATTATTTAAGTTCAATTCAGCATTGAAAAGAGCATTGAAATAATAAAATTTCAAATTATGGCAGAGAAATGTTTGAATTATTTGTTTAAAAGATGAATATGCACACCGGAAATAAAAGAATAATTACTGTTTAAATTCTTAAACTCTTTTAAAATATAAGTATTTAAAAAAAGTTTTGAGCAGTTAAAATAGATAAAATACATACAAAATATATAAAATTGGTAAGAATTCTTCTATGTTTTTACATTCGCTAAAATTTCACATCTCCATGCTCCTTTTAAAAAGGATTTTACAAGCCATATCTCGTCCATGTCATCGCTCCACTTAGATACTTTGCCATTGAGTTGCAATGTGTTAGCTCAGCGTCCATCAAGAAAAGAAATACCTTGAAACGATTTAATTAGCAGATAGGTAGTTAATGATGGTTTGTTTTATTGCACTTTCAAATAAGCTGTGTTTATCTAGGTCTTTAATCAAAGACTCATTGACATTGCTATTTTTAATATCATTAATATCTAAGTTTTCAGTATCATAATTCGATTTATTACTTCATTGATGTGCTTGTGATCAGATCTGACAAATTTCTTGATATTGTGCAGCCTAAATATTTGTATGTGTCAACCTCAATAATATTCTCTTCATCCAATTGCCAGAGTCTTTTATCATTCACTCTCTTACCCACAATTAATACATGTGATTTTTATGATTAAACCTTAATCTATATTTATTACTAACATCATTTGCAATGTCTAACATTCTCTGCATCTCATTGGCAATCGTTTGCTAATAGTACAACATCAGCGACAAAAAATAGAGAGCCCATTTGCGTTTCATTATTGCCGATTCCACATTTGGCCGACTGAAGTAATTTTGCTAACTCATTAATGTATATTGAAAAGAGTATTGGTGACAAAACACGTCCTTGCTTTACACCTTCTGTAACTTCGAAATAGTCAGTTTCAATTGACCCAAATTTAACTTTACTTTCAACCTTTTCGTATAAATTATTTAAAATTGACCATACCTTTCCTCTTATGCCAACATTCCATGCTGTTATTAACAACTTATCACGTCACACGGTATCAAAAGCTTTACGAAAATCTAAAAATGCCTTATAAGTATCTTTACCTTCAGCTTGTCTAATGATGCAATGTTTTTTAAAGTAAACACATGATCTTCACAACGTCTCATTTTTCGAAAACTTCCCTGGACTTCTGTAAGCAAATCATTTTCTTCAATATACTCAGAAATACAATTTGAAAGCAACTTATTAAAAAATTTTACCAACACATGAGCTTAAAGTTATTCCCCTATAGTTATTTAGATCTGATTTGCTACCCTTCTTAAATATAGGAACCACTATACCTTTATTCCATTCATCAGGAATAAGCTCCAAAAACGTTAAACGATTTAGTAGCAGATATAACGCATAATGCATACAATTACCTCCATTTTTTAGTATTTCATTTGTAATTCTATCTACACCAGGTGATTTGTTGTTTTTACATTGACCAAGCACAGATTTTACGTCATCCAGAGTGAAAGTAATAGTATAAATGTATTTGTCATTTTCTGTGTCGTTTTCATTGCACTTTAATTTAATGTCGTTTAGCAACTCTTTCATTCGTGTATATTCACTATCACTTACATCTGAGTTAACATTTTCTTTTCCTAATGATTCCCAATAATGTTTTACAGTTTCTTTAATACTATTGTCACAAGAGGGCGGAATTTTACTCTCCTATATTACTGTTGTCATGAAAACACAGACGCTGTGTTGACAGGGAATGATATTGTGAACCTTAGAAGTGTACTGATCTCTGTGTAAGGGGGGTTTAGGATTGATGGGTAACGTGGATAATTTGTATGACATTAATTGTTAATTTGCGTATGAACGTATGATACGGATTGCCGGGAAATCTGAAATTCAGGGAGGGGCAGATCCGTGAAGAG